CCCCTGTCTGAATGATTGGATATCTCTGTACACTTGGAAACAGTAAATTGTGAATTTATATGTGCGTTTAAAACTCAGTAAATTTAAAAATAAGTTATTCAAAAATTCGCTTGAAGATGATGAAGAACTAATGCTTTTAATTTAATTATATAATTAAATTTAAAGTTTCTAGCTTCCAGTTCTGCCAGTAATGGTGAGATGTAAAATCCCGGGGGTAAATTTTGCGATCAAAGAACACTGCAGACATTTACGTCGTAGTGTATTATTTTCTCCTTTGATCATGGTAGCATTTTTATGTCAAAATTGTGGTCAGTTTCGTTACATTTGGCAACCAATTCATTTAATGTATTGTTTTGTAAAATTTCTTTTTGTATTTATATAATCTTTTATTTAGATTACTTGAGGTTTCGCCTATTTATATTTTGTGACAATTATTACTGGCGATTGAGCATATTCGTCGTACAAGTTTTAACTTATTGTTTTGTTTAGTATTGACTAAGTCTTTTATTGTTTCAAAAGTAGTAGTAACAAACTTTATGTTCAGTTTACATAGATTCTTTACTATTGTATATGTCATAGAGTTAGTTGGCAAGATAATAGTTTTTTCTCATTGGTTTTGTCTGGAGGTACAGTTTTTTTATTTTCTAATAACTGTTAACTATTTCCCCAGTATTGTTCTTGATATATAAAAATATATCGTGTTATATATAAAAATATAATATTGTTCCTGATATATAAAAATATATATCGTTATCCCATATATATATGTGTGTGTGTGTGTGTGTGTGTGTGTGTGTGTGTGTGTGTGTGTGATAAAAGATAGTTTTAGGTATGCTATATTTCAGATTTAAAGTGCTCAATACCAAGGGTAAAACGTATGTAAATATAAAAGTGACGATAATCTGTTTCATGTTAAACGCAATCGTCATTTAATGTCCGTTGTGTTTTTGCTCCACTTTATATTAGTGACTAGCAGTAGAGCCCGGCGTTGCCCGGGGATGTAACAGTAAGAGATAGATCAAGTATCGACCATCATAAAGACCGAAAAATAAAATTGACAAAGATTATTGTTTAAGGTTGACGGACACGCATGTCTTAATTAGTTTTTTTTTTTTTTTTTTTTTTACGAATTGGTCAAACCCAAACTCAAACAAAAACATTGTTTTCAATCGTTATGAATCTACTGATTGAATAGAATTTTATTATAAACAATTGTCTTGTAAATGGATTTTTTAAAGCATTCTGAATGTGAAAATAAAGAAAAGAGTGTGCAAGACAATAAGAAACACTACCTGCCAAAAGAAAGTGAAGTTTTCTTGAAATCGGTTGAAAAACGTAGGAAATCCGATCCCATATATAAACGAACACACACACACGCACACACACGCACACACACACACACACACACACACACACACACACAGAGACACACACACACACAAACAACCAACCTGGGTTTTATAATAAGTATAACTTGATAACTCGATATTAATAAGTATAACTCGATATGAATTGTCCCCCTTTCATTAATGCCTCTTAATCGTGTTTTCAAATTGATTTCCTGCAAAAACAATTGTGTTTTTCCAATTTTTGGCGCTGTCAGAACCACCGCAAGGTAATTTTACGTAGTCCTGTGAAGTTTTGTTGAAATCGGTTGAAAAATGTAAGAAATCCGATCCAATATATAAACGTACAGACACACACACACACACACACTCACACACACACAACCTGGATTTTATAATAAGTCTGATACATTGCGGGTAGTCTGTTGTATTCTTCTAACGGTTATTTTAGTCGACGTGGTTTGTTTATTTTTTACTACGTTTATTTACTTATTTATGTGGATTAATTTATTTTACTTATCGCTATTTATTTTATTTTACTTATTGTTGTTTTTTCGTGTCAGCATTTTAAGACGAGTTCTGATCGTTTATTTAGTAGTTTTTCCACTAACATATATATATATATATATATATATATATATATATATATATATATATGTGTGTGTGTAAGCAAATATATGGATATAGATCCGACAGTATGAAGAAAAATATACGGAAAAAACAAACAAAGATCCTAATATGCAATTATGCTGTTTTAATGTTAATATAATGTCAATGTCGGACGTTTCGGTCTAGTAGACCATCTTCAGGACATATTCATAAAACATAATTAACATTAGACTATATTTAATTCAACATGAAAAAGACGATGGACGGATGGATTTTTTGTTTGTTTTTTTCGTATATTTTTTTCATTCATATATATATATATATATATATATATATATATATATATATATATATATAGTTAAATTTCTCAGAGATAATACTGAAAATAAAGATAGATTGATTTGAAAAATAACAATTGTAAAAATTTTAGTTCTTACCGACGCATTTGGTCTTCTGACTTTATCAAGGCAAGCAATGAAAGCGAAATGTTTTGTAGCCATAGTTACAAAAATCCCAAATTGAAAAAAGAGACACTCCTGCGTAAGCCTCTTTCTGGATATCGGTATAGGTAACTTCCTTTTTACTGCTTATATTCTTTTTCTGTTTATTGGTTCTGTAGGGAAATTTGACTATATTGTAATCATGAAAAACAAAAATCAAACTCTTAGTATAAAGGAAGTTATCAATACGAGTATCCCAAAAGAGACGTACGCAGGAGCGTCGCTTTTCTAAATTTTGGATTTGATGTGACTATGGCTACAAATATTTTCTACATATATATATATATATATATATATATATATATATATATATATATATATATATCGTATTTCATATAAAAAGTAATCTTATAAACAGAAATCTCCTTGGTACATTTATCTTATAACTCTGATGACATACTGAAAATGTTACCTACATTTGTTGGTTAGTACCAATTTTAGTTTGTTAATACCAATGCATAATAAAATCTGACACAATATAAGCACTCCCAGAGCACACCAGAAAATAACTCAGTGTCACTAAGTCATCTAAGAGTCCCTAAAAGAAAAACGCTTATTGATTTACTGAATGTCTTATAATTTGCTTCTCTTGGGAAATATTTTATTGGGTGCTGTCACTGATTTGATGGAGTCTGACGCTAAAATGCTTGCTATTTGGTTTTTACATAAGCTATACCTACAAATAATGGGAAAAATAAAGAAAAAAACGTTCATAAACGAAGAAAGAAAGAAATGAATTTCAAAAAGAGAGGATAAAAAGTGAATAAGAATTTAACATGAAAAAGAAAAGCAGTATTTCATGAGGAATAAGATAGCAAATAGTGAAAAAAAGAATGAAAAGATTGCCATAGTGAAAAAAAGGAAAAGAAGATAAAAAGTAAAAAAATGAAAATGAAAGCAACAAAGAAAGAAAGAGTAGCAGAAAGATGGTAAGTAGGAAAGAGGAAAGAAAAAAGAAAATGGAAATCGAAACAATATCAGGCAAGATTGAAAGAAAGAAAGAAAGAAAGAAAGAAAGAAGGAAAGAAAGAAAGAAAAAGAATCACCGTGAGTAGGTCAAGAGGAGGTACAAAGAATATAGGTTAAAGAGAATGAGATGATTCAGTTATTCTATAAAGGGTAACCAGTTTGTGACGCTAAACGACTATAATTTATAAAAGTAGTGGCTCAAATTTACGAGACCTTAACAGTGTTCTGAATTGGCTGTGTGATAAAAGAGCCATTTAGCACCATTTTTCGACGGGAAGGCAAAAATATGGGCTGTGTCAACGCAGGAAGGCATATGGCTCTTCTTAAAATGATGCTTTCACGATCCGAATTGGATTTGTCTGTAACATATTTGCTGGAATAAAGGAATTACTCATTGAAGGTTAAAGCCGGAAATGAATACACACACACACATACACACACACACATATATATATATATATATATATATATATATATATATATATATATATATATATATATATATATATATATATATATATATATATATATATATATATATATATATATATATATATATATATATATATATATAGAGAGATACATTCATACACACACACACACATATATATATATATATATATATATATATATATATATATATATATATAACGATATATATATATTATATATATTTTTAGAAAAAAGTATTTGGGAAATTTTATGGCAATGTGTAAAAAGTTTACTTGTGATGCGTTTCGTCCTTCAAGAACTTTTTCAAGTTCACGATGTAACGCTGTTTCTATACATTTTGCAAAGCCAAGTTTCCACTCGCCGTCCTTCGAAAGCGGTTAGGATAATGAACGAGGGCACGGGGTGGGGGATTTAAAGTGATTATTACATCCGTTAATAGACGGATAGATCGGAATTATTTGGACAGAGCTAAGTCTGGTCCAAAATGTTTCATATAATCGAGTATAGATGTGAGATAGCATCCTAGCATCGAGATTACGCGTAAGTTTTATAGATGAGCAAAAGAGAATTTCTTAAAAGATTACATTATCATATGTAATCACACACTGAAATATATAAGTTGAAATAATAGGAGCACAGATAGATAGATAGATAGATAGATAGATAGATAGATAGATAGATAGATAGATAGGAAATGAACAGCTGGGATTGGTCGATCGATCGATCAATAGATAAATAGATCAATAATGAACAGACTCTCAGATATATAGAGAGAGAAATGAACGGACTGAAATAGATAGATAGATTGATAATGAACTGACAGATATATATTGAGAGAAATGAACGGACTGAAATCGATAGATTTGATTTTTGATGGTTTTTTACGGCTTATCAACCTTTTGTAGGTTATTTACAATTTGAAATATTTTTAGATTGCAAGAATATTTGGTGATAATAATAATTTTCTGATAAAAGTTGCAATATTTTTCCGGCAGATGGGTTGGAGGAAAAGTGGATTCTTATCTTTCCCAAGAGTATTTGGACGTAAGTGAATATAAAGAACACAACTGGAATTGGAACTCTTTAATATCTTATTCTGAACTGTTAACCATTACACCACCCGCATACAGCACCAGATGTTTCCAAACGGCTACCCATCTAGGTACAGGCCATTCTCAATGTTGCTTAACTTCGGTGATCGGATGAGAACCGTCGTTTTAGTCTGATATGGTCGTAAGTGATAGATGCGAGTAAAATTAGATAGATAGATAGATAGATAGATAGATAGATAGATAGATAGATAGATAGATAGATAGATAGATAGATAGATAGATAGATAGATGTGATTTGGGATTGATTTATTGGATGAATTGTTTTTACGGCTTATCAACCTTTTGTAAGTTATTTACAGCCAGAAAATATTTTTAGATTGTAAAAATATTTGAAAATAAAAATGATTTTCTGATACAAGTTCTACTGTTTACTCCATAGCTTATTTTAGACGAGGTGGATTCTTACTTTTCCCAGGGATTTTTGTGCGTAAGTGTATATAACGAACCCGGCTGGAATTGGAACACGACTTTCTGATTTTCCCTTCTGAGCCGTCAGCATTTACACCAGCCGCTTACAGCATATGGCGTTCCCAAGCGACACGCATCTAGGTACAGACCAGATGCTTCGGTCATCGGAAGAGAACCGCTGTTTCAACTTGATATGGTCGCAAGCGGTGTATTTAGATAGATAGATAGATAGATAGATAGATAGATAGATAGATAGATAGATAGATAGATAGATAGATATGAACAATCTGAGATAGATAGATAGATAGATAGATAGATAGATAGATAGATAGATAGATAGATGTAGTGAAAGAGTTTCTGCTTAAGTAGATGTGCCCAACTAAAATCTACGTCCTCCCCTCTGTAATATTTTGGACATTCATTGTTTCGAAATTCGCTAACCGACCATTGAACCTCGAACGTCGTAAGCTCTCGATTTACGATTTCAACTGCAGCCATTTCTGCTGCTTACATTTTTTGTGCTCGGCGAAGACATATCTAGATCTATGGGCGTAGAGACACAACGTCAAATAATACATTTGTAAGTTTGGCGTACAAGATAGAAAACAACGGGGAACCAAATAGACGAGTAGTTTGCATTTCTTTTAGATTTTTTTTTTTTGTTTTGTTTTTTATTTTTTGTTTTTGTTTTTTTTACAACCCTTTTCCTTGAGAATAAGAGTCAAAGTTAAAAGTTACAATTACTGCAAAAAAAAACTCAGTTGATACTGTCTGCACAGATCGAAGCCGAAAGAGACGGAAAAACACAACAAAGGCAAAGAAGTAGTCACCATCTAAAGTTTGATGTCCTGTCGGCTGTTACAAGTGAAAGAGTTCTTCGTTGTCTAAACCATGGACATTTTTTATGTTCAAGATTTGTTTATATTTATACTATGTACTCATGCATATGTTTTAGGTAAACTGTTATATATATATATATATATATATATATATATATATATATATGTGTGTGTGTGTGTGTGTGTGTGTGTGTGTGTGTGTGTGTGTGTGTTTGAGAGAGAGAGATAGAAGGAGAGAGAGACAGAAGGAGAGAGAGAGTGTGTGTATGTCTGTGGAGTGTGGTTGTTCAAGTAATTTTTCGCATTTCTTTTTCTCTTTCTGTTTTTTCCCCATTTTTTTCTTCTTTATTGAACAGCAATTTTTCGAGTGCCTCATCGTATATCTACCGTAATGTCTTCCATTACGAACGGTATGACTGTTACTACTACTATTACAACTTGAAATATTACAACTACTACTATTACAATCTAAAGATAATAAAAAAATAAAACAATAATGAGAAGAAACATAAAAATCAAAGAATATGTACAACAGATTAAAGAAAAAACTGTTGAAATAATAATAAACATAAAATAATAATAATAATAATAATAAAATAATGATAATAACAATAATAATCTGGAAATCGAAATAGGAAAAACAAGGAAATTGAAAACAAGAATAGTACCAGTCATACATAGTAGGTGTCCTTAGGGTGATATAATAAGGAATACAACAATACATTGAAAAAATCCTTGGAAATCCCAGTTTAAGAGAGATACAAAAAATGTCTAGAAAAACAGCTAAAGACACACTAAGAATAACTTCGACCATGTAACGCTAGTGATATTATGGAAGTTAGAAAAACAAATCATGAAATGTAGCCATAACGACACAACACTACATGCATTAGGTCTTCCCGTAAACTTGGTAGTTAGTGTGACCATAGTAGAAATTGAAATATTATTATAATAATAATAATAATAATAATAATAATAATTTTCAGGCTTTCAAGTGCAGATATTGGCAGGTTGTCCAATATCTGCATTGGAAAATCTTCAACTTTTACGGAATGGAAACTGCACGAACTTGGTATGAACACCACCCGGAACCGGTTAGAGACATTGAACTTGAACATTTTATTGGACTTTACAATACACACAGAATATGTAATCGGCCAGATATATGGATCTAAGATCACAAAAACAGAATGTGCTTTCTTATTGACATAGCAGTTCCTGCAGACTACAGTAAAGATCTGTAATTGAAGGTCTTCAAAAAACTATCAAAATACAAGGATTATAAATGAAAATCTCAAAAATGTGGCACATGAAGACATCAGTGATTCCAGATGTGATTGGTTCCCTCGGTTTAATTGGAAACGGCTCCGATCGACTCTTTGAAGGGGTCCTCAACAGATCATGCCTTAAAGAAATCAAAAAAAATGTTCTCACAACTCGCAATTTACGAAGAGCTTTATCTATACGAAATAAGAGTGCTCTTAGGTTGATTTATTGTTATCTTTTTACAAAAATGCTTAGTGGAAAATGTTATGATGCCATTGCTGGCCTTAGGTCTCTGGTTGGGACCCGGAAATAAATGAGTATACAACAGAAATCAAAGGAAATAATAATAATAATAATAATAATAATAATAATAATAATCAAACTGAAGAAAGAGTAAAAGATTTGATACTTGATAGAAATCTCCTATCCATTTGATACGACATTTTATTCCTATATAACACATACTGAAATAGAATGTATTTTCTTATTAACATGGCAGTTCCCGCAGACTGTATGCATCTTTGTAGAACCTAATAGAGCGGGAATTATGATTAGAGACTACAATAAAAAAAAAAATTCCCTTCTCATAGATATGGCAGTGCCATGAGATTATTAAAGTATATGACAATATAATTAAATCACAAATATAACATATAGAAGGATCATGAAATTGAAAAAAGATAATACCTTAAAGCCACTGTTATACCTATAATAATTGGAGCACTGTGTACGGTCAGAAAGGAGTAGGGATAAGAATAAAATCCCTGAAAGCCCCTGTTTCAGAAATTGTATTCTGTTGTAATGTTTACCTATTCAGGAGAGTATATAGTAAGATAAAAAATATAAACATTGTACATGTAGATTATAACTTAAAGTCAGAATTTGTGCAAACAGAATGTTTATATATTGACAATCTTACTTTCCCCTAGGTTTCGAGTAATGACCAAGTCCTGGGTATGACGATAAACTGCATCCGGCAGCAAAGCCTCTGATTGGAAGATTGGAGGTTTTGAGGAGCTTGGTACCACTCCTTAATTGCTGTTGTTTCAAGGTTTCCATGTTGTTAGTCCCTCTTAGGGTCCAAGTTATGGGCAAACAGGGAACCCATCAAACAAAAACAAAAACACTATGAAAGTATAAAAATACATTTTATAGTAAAAATACCAGCAATATATTTGATGTAAAAAAGTGAACAATAGATTTTATCTGTATTTGAAGGCATACAATTGTGTTCAAAATATATTTAATTAAAGCCATAAAATTATGTTCAAAATATTTAGATTTCGACATTCAATAACCCATGGAGGTGTTGATATGCCGCTAAACGAAATCAAACAACCAACATAAAAGAACTCTTTCATATGACATTAATTCATATAATACACTAACATGTTTTAAATCAAACTGTATTACAAAATATAACTCCAACAAAACCGCAACATAAAACACACATATCACAGCCTCTAGTAATCATGTCCCCACAAACATGTCTATGCACAAAATCTGAGTATCATCTACCATGCATTCGATTGTGAAAGCCTAATAACATGTATCATATTTTTATTACTTCTAAGCTCCAAAAAAAATTAAAATAACGATTTGATATGCTGTTAAATGAAGAATTGAATCGGTAATGACCAAGAACGAATTGTACTAATGTTATATCGGAACATACCTATTCTATTGTTAATAGACTCACACATAATAAGTAGTAGTAGTAGTAGTAGCAGTCGCCAGGGGGGGGGCTCAGTGGAGTTGAGTGAGTCAGTCGATGTCGGACATTAAAGTTATCAACCATCACAACTAGATTGCTGCGTCATTAACTATTATTTCAAGTTCCTAACGTTTTGTACGTCGAACCTTTTTTAAGACCGACTTAGTGAAATACAAGCCTCCACTGTGAAAACTACTCTACAACACATTGACGACGAGGGATTCGCAATTCATACGGAAGAAAAAATTTTCGTTCACTCTATAACAACTAAAAAGAAAGCAAATAATAATAATAATAATAAGGACCTTGAAATAGAAATCTCAAAAATGTGGCATATGGGAACATCAACAATCCCTGTTGTAGTTGGAACCCAAGGATTGGTTGGAAAAGATTCCAGTAGACTAATTGAAGGGATTACTGGAAGTCCATGCCTCAAAGAGATATAAAAAATTGTTCTGACAAGTACAGGCCACACTTTACGAAGGGCTTTATCTATGTAATTTTTTTTTTTTTGTTAGTGGAAAGTGTCATGATGTCATTTCTAACCTTAGGTTCCTGGGTGGGACCCGGAAAGAAATGTGTAAACGCCAGAAATCAAAGAAAATAAAAAAAATAATAAAAGAAATACAAAAAATTGTTCTCACGAATACAGACCACACCATACGAAGAGCTTTATCAATGTAAAATATGTGTGTGTGTGTGTTTTGTTTTTGGGGTTTTTTGGGGGGGTTAATTGGTCAGTGGAAAATGTCATGATGTTATTTCTAACCTTAGGTCTCTGGGCGGGACCCGGAAAGATATATAAAATTCACTAGAAATCAAAGGGAATAATAATAATAATAATAATAATAATAATAATAATAATAATAATAAAAATAATAATAATAATAATGGAGAGGAGAAGAGGAGAAGAAAAGAAGATTAGTTCAACTTGAACTGTCTTACAAAACCACAGCAATTGGTCTTCAAAGATTTCTGGAAACTACAGAAAAGTGGAAAATGATCTCTGTCAAAGAACATGAAAGAAATAATAAACTTTATTCAGTAATAAAAGAAGCCAACAAATTCAAAAGGAAATTTCAAGTGGGTGAAGAATTGCAAATAAGCCATAATACACAATGGCAAAGCATCCAAAAATGAAAGCAAAAACAAATGCAATAGACCAAACGCAATAACGATGGCAAGATAACCTTCTTCATGGCTAATACTCTGCCCGTTCCAAACAAGCTGATATCCATCAGTAGTTGCGTACTACATGATTAAAAAGTGAAACCTAAGCTTTTATTTTCACTGCACATGGCCAATGCTTGTTAACTAGAAATTACCAGGCAAAGGTACTAAAAAACAAAGGTAACTCGTAATGCAGATTCTGTAATGAATATCTAGAAACAATTGACCATCGTGTATCAGGTTGGGCGGTATTAACATCCATCGAATATAAAACCTGACGTGAGAGGATTGGCTGAAAAATATGCAACTTTTACGGGAAGGAAACTACAAGAAATTGGTTTGAACGCTACCCAGGCCTGGTTACAGATACGGGACCTGTATGTGACTTTACAATATACAGGCCTGGTTACAGATACGGGACCCTGTATGTTACTTTACAATAAACACAGACTAAACACTCAAAGCTATTTTCTTTATTTTTCTTTTTCTATTTCTCCTTTTTGCTTATTCTTTGCCTTTCACTGATCTTTTTTCATTTACCTTCTCTTTTTTTTTTCTTCAATTGCTTCCTCTTAGTCTTTTATTTTTATTTCTTCGCTTTCTCTTTCTCTTTAATTTTCCTTTTTTTTAATTGTCCCCTCCTCTTTTTCTACGTATATTTTGTATTCCTTCAACGCCACCTGACCCTATTTTACAGTGTGTATATTTTCATTCTTTTCATTAATTTTAATATGTTTGCCATCACCTCTCTAACCAAGTACTTACGGCCACATCATGATGAAACATTGGTTCCCGTACGATCACCGAAGTTAAGCAATGTCGAGTGTGGCCAGTAGCCAGACGGGTGACCGACTGGGAATACTAGGTGTTGTAAGCTTGTGGGTGCTGTAATAGATAATGGCTCGGAATTGTTAATCAGAATGCCGATTTCCAGTTCCAGCTGAGTCCGTTACCGGTTTATCGTTATTGTTTCGGTAAAATAACAAAAAAAAAAAAAAACAAATGAATAAAAAATGTGGCACATGACATTTAAGGTGCTGTAAGCTTAGATGTGTGGGTTGTGCAACGTATAATGACATGGAATTGTTAATCAGAGAGCCGAGTTCCAATTCCAGTTGGGTTCGTTTATTCACTTATCCTTGGGAAAGGTATGAATCCTCTTCTTCAGCTATGGATTAATTAGTAAGACTTGTGTCACTAAACGATTATTATCTCCAAAAATAAAATAAAATTGTGTACAAAAAATGTCCAGATTTCGGCATTAAATAACCCATAACCCGCCAAAGAAAATCAACCAAGTAAATAATAATGATCCTGAAATTGAAAAAATGCAGCACCTTAAAACTACTGTCATACATATAACAACTGGGGCCTTGGGTATGATCAAATAGCGTACAGGTACGAACATTAAGATCACTGGTAAGGGATTCATAAAAAAATAAATAAAAAAATAAATAAATCTCCATAGACATGCAAACTAGACGAGGGTTAATACATCTTCCGTTTCAAATTTAGACACCCCCACCTTTCCCTGACTTGACATGTATGAAAGTAACTCTATACTGATACTTATTATTAACACCCAACACGCGCCTACCCAATTTAAACAATTCGCCCTAGCTGTTACCATCGAAATTTTGATTTCAATTTTTAAAACACGTAAATTTCAGAAATACGTTATTCCAATAAAAATTTCGCTTGAAGATGGAACAGAGCTCACTTTAACTCAATTTAATTTAAATAATTATATTGAAGTTTTCAGCTCTTGTTTTGAAACATGAGACTTTTTATGTCGCGTTTTGGAATCATATTTTTAAATAAATAATTATATTTATGCTCTACTTTTTGTATCGAGCACTATTTTTAAAAATAATAACTAAAATACTAAGGGACTTTGGATTATTTACCTTTTTCCTTCCTATTTTTATATATTTTCACATATTAAATATATATATATATATATATATATATATTTGAATATATATATATATATATATATATATATATATATATATATATATATATATATTTGAATATATATATATATATATATATATTCAAAAATGAAATATATAGATATATATATATATATAGACAATATAAATAAAAGGTATATATGTGTATGTGCACGTGTGTGTGTGTGTGTGTGTGTGTGTGTGTGGGGGATTGGGGATTGTATGACAAAGAGGAAAAAGTGTACTTGTGATGCGTTTCTTCCTCCAGGACTTCATCGGACTAAATTTTCTCTGTTTTTCTCAATCGCTGGCGAAGCTTTAATAAATGTGTAACATGTTAGATTGATATACGTTTCCTATTTGTTATTTATTTTATCATATATATATATATATATATATATATATATATATATATATATATTTATTTGCCTGTGTGTTCATATTAAGTATATCGCTTCAGAATGTGAATAAACAGAATGCATGTCGTAATTGCTACGGTTTGTTGCTTTTGTTTAGCCGCATGTCAAGCTCTATGTGTTATTTCATGCCGAAATCTAAATATTTCATGCGCAATTTTATTACTATTTTTTAGATAATAATGGTCTATTCATACTAATTAACCCATAGCTGGGGAGTGAGGTGGATTTGCACCTTTATCTTTATTTGCGCGTACATGACTATAACGAACCGAGCTCGAATTAGAACTATTCATAAAGGCTAACATTTCCGAGCTGTTACCCATTGCATCCCCAGCATATCCAAGCCTACAGTATCTGGTATTCCTTAGAGGTCATCTTTCGTTGCTTAACTACAGTGATCGTACGGGGACCAGAGTTTCAACATGATGTGGCCGTAAACCATCAAGTGATACTGAACAGGATATTTACTGTAGACCCTTTTAATTCGCTAAACAAAACATGTTAACTTGTCCAATCAATTAAGATTAGTAGCCACGAGAACCATACTTCGTGTAGCAACAGGACATTTATTATTACTATTATTATTTCCTTTGTATACTGGTTTCTTTCCGGGTGCCACCCAGAGACCTAAGGTCAGAAATAGCATCATGACATTCCCCTAAGAACATTTTTATAATAAAACAACCTAAGAGAACATAAATTTTACATAAATAAAGCCTTTTATAAGGTGTGATCTGTCCTCTTGAGAACATTGTTTTGTATTTCTTAAAGGCATCGGCGATCAGGTAATCCTTTCAATGAATATTAGAACCTTTTCCAATCAAACCAATGGCCCTAACCACAACTGGAATCACTTATCTCTTCAGGTGCCACATTTTTGATTGGTTGGTGGTTTTTGTTAACAGCTTATCAACCTAACGAACTCAACTGGAACACGACATTCCAGCTAAAAATTCTAAGCCATTATCCATTGCAGCACACACAGATTCGTGCTTACAATCGGTCCCCATCTGGGCACTGACCATGCTCGAAGTTGCTTAACTTCGGTGATCGTACGGGAATCGGTGTTTCAACGTGATGTGGCCGTAAGCCTTAAGTACTTGGTTAGAGAGGTGATGGTAAATGTATTAAAATAGTGAAAAAGAATGAAACTATATACGCTGTAAAATAGGGTCAGGTGGTGTTGAAGGAGGGCATAATGAATGAGATGAAGGAATACAAGAAGAATAAATTGATGCTGCTACTTAAGATGAAGCTGAATACGAAATACACGAAGAAAAAGAGGAGGAGACAATTGAAAAAAAGAAAATTAAAAAGAAGGTGAAAGCGAAACAATCGAAGACTAAGAAAAAGTAATTGAAGAAAAATAAAAAAAAAAAAAGGAAAAGTGAAAGGCAAAAAACAAGCAAGAAGTAGAAGAAGCATATACAGTAGAAAAAGAAAGAAAAACGAAATCAAAAAGAGGAAAAAGACGAATAATAAAGAAAGAAAATCAAGAAAAATAGGAAAAGAAAATACGTGAAAAATCAAACAATAGGTGGAAAGAAGAAATCAAAGAAAAAGAAAGAGAAATAGAGAAAACTGTAAAACTAAATCAATAAAGAAGAAAAAGACGAAGAAAGATAAAGAAAGCAATCAAAGAGTTACAAAATTAACGACGTAGAAGGAGGAGCAAGGAGAAGAGAAACAGGAGGAGGAGGTGCAAGGATGGAGCGATGAGTAAGGAGAAGAGGTACAGGAGGTGAAAAGAAGCAGGAGGGGCTGACTAAATGCTACAAAACCATGGAGATTATGCTAAAGATTTTACAAGAAGAAATACTATTAGAAAGAGGACGATAAGAAGGAAACAAAAAGATGGCGGCACCAAAGAAAATAAAGACAATAAGATAAACGGGAAAATAACGTTGATAAGAAGAAAGAATAGGAGATCGTGATGACGTCTTGAAAATAAAACGAAGAGCAAAATTTCCACTGGAAAAGGAAGGAGGAAATAGAAAAGAAAAATCAATCACAATTTGCGTCTGGCTTCAAAGCTCATCCAGTAAGCAGGTCACATTTTGAACTTGTCATGTTCGTGTAAACATTGTTATTTCAAATTCGTGCCTATGCCCAGCATCTAGACATTTGGCAAATATTTCTACACTCACTCCTACCCCAGCGCTGAGTCCATCTGTGCACTTATTGTATTTGCAATACAAAGTCTCAATACAGACGGACCACGTAAGAGAAGCAAAAAGGCTTGGCTTGTCAGTACTTGATAAAACGCGCAATTCTTCTTATAAATTCTTTTTTTCCAGTTCTACGTAGCTGCAAAATAACAGAGCGTACAAATGGCCAAGCTTACATAACAAAGACGAAATGTAGTATTTTGAGCTCGATTGTGAAAAGGCCTGAAATTCATGGAAAACATTTTTTTACTTTATCCCAAAATATAGATACTTCTTCTTCTTTTTCTTCTTCTTCTTCTTCTTCTTCTTCTTCTTCTTCTTCTTCTTGTATCATGTTTCTCGTTTGAAGAGGGATGGGCTCCGTTAGGCCATCCTGCTCGAGACAGACTACTACATTACATATGATACCCTACCACCATTATGGATTACAGCACACATGATATGTTTCATGTCACCCCTCGAGATGTGAGTGATTATAGCTCTCCACAATTTCCTATCATTCGTTACCCCAAGTAATGTTTGTTTTCTTATTATTCCACTTCTACTTCTTCGTGTCTTTTCCCTTCAGGACATGGAAGATCAGGGCTCTCCACAACTTGCTATCATTCCTAGCTCTCAACAATGTTTGGCTTTTTAATACCCTTTTTTTTTCTTCTTGTTCTGCCATCCATTTGCTCAAGCTCATTTGCCAGGCTACTTGTTATTTCCCTCTGTGAGCACCATTCCACAAAAATTGTCAGACTCCCTAAAATTGAACCATATCCTCCTAGTAAGATTTGCAGAGAAAACTTTTTCAGTCATTGTGTTTTTATTATGCCTATGCATGGCAGTACAGTGAATCGGAGGGATGTTTAAGAGACAAACCTTACTAATAGCTAGGAAATTGTGAAGAGCCATGATCGACCACGTCCTGAAGGGATATGGCATATAGAAGAAGAAGAAGAAGAAGAAGAAGAAGAAGAAGAAGAAGAAGAAGAAGAAGAAGAAGAATTTTGATTAATTCAAACTAATTTATTTGCGTGTTTTTTTTTTTTAATTACATTTAGGTCTCTGTGCTTTCCTCGTATTTTGGTGTGTTGAAACTTCTCATCTCATACATCTCCTTGCCAGTGTTTGTGCTTGTGAATTCTTCGGGTGATCCTACCTTGACATACGCGCTAAATCCTTGATCCTACAGTGAACTGGGTGAAACTTGATGACACTTCATGTTTAATTCATACGGTTTGAATTCATCGTTTCTTCATTTCTGATTACTGTCCTGCATATGATATTAATGCCTGTTCTGATATTGAAGGAACTCGCACACGTATTGTTCAATGAGAGAATTGAAGGAATCCGCACACATCCCGTGTTGAACACACATAATGTGATGAACACAGTATGCATGCAGATTCCTTCAAAGTTTTTTTTTTCTATTGCTGTTAGTTGATTCAACGTTCTGCGGTTTCCTTCCATGCATAGTTAGCTATAACTGATTAGAAAAATATTTTACTGTACGCTGATCTCGTTCTTACTACAACTGCATGGATTGTTGTACATACAGTTCCTGGTCAATTTCCATGCAGACACAAGAGCATTTCAGCTTTCAAGAAAGTTTTTTACGAAACCCATTCAGCAAACAACTATTTGGAAGATAAAACTTCCGATAAAGCCTAAGAATTTTAACAGAGTTTTATTTAATGAGCTAGCAATGAAATAAAACAGGGGAAGCAAGGTTCATTGATAATTATATATAGCATTAAATAGGCTTTCAGATCAACAAGCGAATAACCAAAATAAAACTAAAAGGGCCTGTAAATATGGTAATTTTAAATGATTTCAGTTGTAAATATGGTAATTTTAAATGATTTCAGTTGCAATAAAAAGAATAATAAAGTAGCAGATAGATAGATAGATAGATAGATAGATAGATAGATAGATAGAAGTAAAGTGAGATCGATAGATAAGTAGATAAGAATTGGAACAATTTAGTACATCGTAGAGTAATGAGAAAAACGTTTTAATAACTCGTTTCGACTCTTCGCTCTCAGCTTCCATAACATCTGAAACCCACACGTTAACTTTTCAGACAATTTAGAGACAGTTGTCAGTCACAAATTCCTTTTTGTACTAAAAATTACATTGAATTTTCAGAAGAATAAATGTATTCGTGTACCTGCTTACATATAGACGAAAACCCATGGGCCGCGACGAATTATGCAATAATTTAGTATAATATCGAATAATAAACTAGTTTTAAACATGCTGCTTTATATGTATTACTGGTTCAAAAATAAGATAGATAGATAGATAGATAGATAGATAGATAGATAGATAGATAGATAGATAGATAGTGGAGTAATGAGAACAAAACGTGTTAATAACTCGTTTCGCCTTAATAACTTCGTTTTCGTGGTCAAGAGGAAAGTCAAAACTGTGTGTGTCTTTTTTTGTTGTTTTTTTGTTTTTTTTTTTGTTTTTATTAAAGCTGTTAATATCCATTTTAAGTGGATCTCTGTTATTATCTCTGTTAGCTCATATACCCAATTGTGCTACTATTTCTTTTGCAATGATCGGTGATATTATGTATGAGCCTGGTCTTAGGTTTATCGTCAAGAATCTTGAGATCAGCACACTCTTAATGCTTTTTTTCTTAGTGAATTATTTTTTCACCTGATTAGACAGGTATTTATTAAGTCGGTATTATGATCAGATGTATTACGATGTACTACTAAGAGTCAGATAATCTCAAATCCAACAGATTAACGGCTTTAATGAATAAAAAATCAGGGAGTTTTGTTCATTGATTCCTACCAGAAGAGACCAAGCTAGCAAACAGAAATTACACGTATTTTATCTCTGAGACAAGTAATTTTCAATATTCTTGTATTATTTTGAACTGTTGTTCTCACTTTGGTTGATATAGATGTGATTATTGACAGAACGTTTCGATCAAGTACCCTCTAGTCATCATTAGGTGTCCATTGATTGACTGATATGAGATATCAGGTTGATTATTGTGATATGTTGTCCTTGTCGTATTAGTTATTGTTGTGTCCATAATAACATCTATATCAACCAAGATGAGAACAATACAAAAATATAGAAATAATACAAGAATATAGACATAACCGACTTTAATTAAAAATAAACACGCGCTTTTGTTCTTTTAATCCAACTAAAAGACGTCAACCTTTAATAAAAAAAAATCACAGTTTTGTCTTGCACTTTGACCTGAAGCCGTCAGCCTAACACAAGGAGGCGAAATGCGTTGTCACGAAAAAAAGCCTTCCACTTTTGTTCCGACTCTATATCCTACTAACACGCATAGATAGATAGAGGTAGATAATGAACAAACAGAAAGATAGATAATGAACAGATATAGCTAGCTAGCTAGCTAGATAGATAGATAGATAGATAGATAGATAGATAGATAGATAGATAGATAGATAGATGATGAAAAAACAGGTAGATTGATACATACATACATAGATAATGAACAGATAGATAGATAGATAGATAGATAGATAGATAGATAGATAGATAGTGTCCGTTTGATGGCTGAAGTAATTGAATATTTCCCATTAGCCCAAAGGTCAGTATCTTAACATGACTATACCCCGGGATATCGAATTTTCTTGTGACTGGAGAATGGAGACTCCACCTTTACGTCCGAGATTGTTGCAACACGATCTTTCTTCCATGTGGGCCTCTGTGCTTAGCTCATTATACATCTAGAAAAAAAAAGAGAAAAGATGTCTGCGCGCCTGTAGGTGGCTAGCTGGTTGTGGGCCCGCCAACAAATCTCGAGCTTTCAATTTCATCGAATTGTCTCGCAGTCTGCGCTTTGAACCCAGCTTGGCAACGATTTGAAAGAGGATAGAGGTGAAACAGTGGGCAAGGGCCTTCATTGAATATTTTGAAATAATATGGCGCTTAAGACAATGAAAATTCATGAATCTTGATTATCATATAATACGATTCTGATATATAATATTTAAACATGCAATATTTTATATATTATATCTTACTTGCATTTTACATACTTACGCAATATGTATTATAAGTGTTGTTTTCGGTGAACAAAACTGAAGCTAGCAGATATCGATTCGTAAAAGTCCCAAAGCGAGAAGCAATTTTAACTGCCGTATCTGTCCGACTCCGTGGCCAAACACTTCGAAACACGCTTTGGTTTAAAAAGTGGTTTCTCTGAAGGAAAAGAATGCAAGTTTGATTCTTGTCGGAAGAATAATTATTCTTTTGTAGGACTTCTCAATTTAGGTTTTCATTATTTCATTATTTAATAATAAAAACAAAAAAAAACAGGGATAGCAACCCAAACACGAATACCCACATAAAATAATGTTTATAGCAATAAGGAATGTATAATAATTGGTCCTGACCCTCCCTTCGTTAGTTCGCGCGACCGTTATGCCCTGCCAATATGATGTATTATTCCGTTTTCATTGTGTGGAAAGCCAAAATACTTATCAGAGACGCTAGGTTGTTTCAGTGGGAAAAAGAAAAAAGAAAGAAAAAAGATAGAAGCTTTTAAACTCTCCTGCTAATACCTTATAAATAATGAACTATTCCGTTTTGGTCGCTTGAGAAGATAAAATACATATCAAAGACTCTACTTGGTTTCAGTGAGAAAATGATAGAAAAAAGGTAAAATAGAAGTGCTTAACATCTGATTCAGTGAAATGGAAAAAAATTGTCAGTTTCCAATCTTTTCATTTGTACCTCCTTATTTCTTAAATGGCGACAAGCATTGATATTGCAATATTTTGTAAAAGTTGTTAATATTTAACGATGTGATAGTGGAATTTCTATTTTGTTTTATATTTGTTGAACTCGTCACGAGCTTATTCAATCATTAAAAGAAGAATTAAGATTCATCATAAATTTCAAACTTTGGCTATATAAGTTGCTGCGATATGTGTGTGGTATGAAAATGGCGCTGGAATTTTAATCAGAAAGATGAGTTTCAATTCCAGTTGAGTTCGTTATAACCACTTACGAGCAAACAGCCTTGGGAAAGGTATGATCTTACCTCTTTTTTACCCACCTATGGGTTAATTATTAAGAATTGTATCAGTAAATCATTAATATCTAAAAAAAAAAAATCGTATTATTTAAACAAAATATCCCATAGCTTTAAATAAACCGGAAAGAGTTGATAATTTTTTTTTTAAATCTGTTCGGCTCTACTGAAACTTTACCCAATAAAAATCAAATCGATGATAAATACCAGACCAACTATTGTAAGGCATTGCCCTTTCCGTTAATTTATTTTAATAAAGGCTCTTTTTCTTACTGTTGACACTGGCAAGAGTAAAAGAAAATTAATTAAACTAGAAAAATCCCCAAATAATGTTTATGTTGAAATTAATCGTTTCTATATTAAAAACATTCGACCGAACAGATAGCATGACTGTCGGTTGAAATTTGTAAAAAGAATTTTCTTAAAACAGTTTTTCGTAAAAATAGATTTTTCATGTCTACTCTTATCGCTTTTCTTAGTATTATTGGGATTTTTTTTCATAGACATTAAGTCATTATGGAAAGACTACGTCTACATTATATCATTATTTTCTCCTTTTTTTACAATAAGATTCACCCTCTACAAGGACCGGGGACTCTTGGAGGTAGAGGGTTACGATAACTGGTAGCTTATATGGATAGGAGGAGGAAAATAGCGGTTGGCGATAGATAGATAGATAGATAGATAGATAGATAGATAGATAGATAGATAGATACTAATAATAAAATAAGAAAAAAAATAATAATGGTTATGTTGAAATTCATCTTTTCCATATTGGAAACATTCAATCGAACAGTTAAAATGGCTGTTGGTTGAAATTTATTAAAAAAATCTTCTTAAAAAAGTTTTTCATAAAAATAGATTTCTCGTGTCCACTGTTATCGCTTTTCCTAGTATTCATGGGATTTTTTTCCGAGACAATAAGTTATTATCTTCATTATATCATTATTTTCCCTTCTCTTTTTTACAGTAAAGTGTTACGGTTTTTGGGGTATATACTATGTAACTAGTGAGCGAGTCAAAATGACTTATTTCCCTTTATAGTCTACCAATAGAAGATTTAACCAATCAGAAGCCGCAGAACACTGTATCCGTCGTGTATAAAGGCGGCCATCTTTGTTTACTCTACCGGAAGGACCAGAGCCAACTTGTCAGGCGAACACGACAGAAGAAAGAACTACACTCTGCTGTGATATCCACTGCGAACCTGAACTTTCCTACTGTCTCCGAAATATTCACTGCCAACCTCTGGATTCTATACTCGAAGACGACCGTCATGAAAATGTCTAACATAAAGTTCACCCTGTACAAAGCCCTGAGGCCACTCATGGTATAGGCTTACTGTATTTTTTAGTTTAAATGGATAGGAGGGTAAGATAACGGTTGACTCTAGACGTGAACAACTTAAGGTTATAGTGATCGGGGAAACATCCTCTTGGGAGCCTGTTTCATAGGGCAGTGGTTCGCGGGAAGAAACTGAGTGGAACTTAGTTCTCATTGATGGATTACGGAAGGAATGTGGGTGGCTTGCGATTATGTAAGTGACATAGTGGGTCCTAGCCTTGAAGGTCAGACCTCGTTGGACCAGGAGATACAGTTCGTCCAGGCACTTTCCATGGCAGTAACGATAGAACAATGAGAGACTCACCACGTCCCACCGGTGAGAGAGTGGTTGAAGTGGGGAAAATAGTTTTTCTCCCACAAGGACTCGGAGATGCTTTTGAAATCTATCAAGACAGGAAAGTGTGGTCTGGCCAGCTCCTATTTACATGGATTTCTTTTAATCATTTCACCCCAGGAAAGGCGTCAATGCCACTAAGACATAAGGGTTTCCTGGGAGTGGGATAAATTGACCAGACTTTAGTGAGGAAAAAGAACAATAAAAGAACAGGATTCAAGAAAAAAAAGTATATAGCGATTTTTTTTAAGCGTTTCACCCCAAGCAAGGCGGTAAGCCACTAGGACGCAAGGGGTTACAGAAAATTTGGGGCAAGATCAGATAGGAGTGATAGAAGAAAGGATGAGGAGAAGGGTAGTGGATAGATCAAGGCAACTGGAGATGTCGATTGACATTACATTTGAATAGCTGGAGATTATAGCTCTCATGGAAACTGAAATAGGGAAGGGAGTTTCACAGGCGAGAGGTGCGAGACATGAAGCTATTGGAGTAGAAGAGACGGCTACATTTAGGAGTTTCGACAGTGAAGGGGTGAGAGCGGGATGCCAGCCTCATAGGGCGCTTGAACTCATGAAGTCTGGGAATCAGCGAATGCAGCTCCTCGGAGCAATTACCATGAAAGTATTCGTAAAACAGACAGAGAGAGGCGACGGCGCGTCTGTGAGAAAGCGACTACCAGATCAAGGCCAATTATATTGCATATCCGCCTCTGGAGCCAATTATATTGCATATCTGGAGCCAATTATATTGCATATCCGCCTCTGGAGCCTATCAAGAACCCCGAGGCAAACAGAAGGGGCTCCAGACCATATAAGGCAGCAATACTCTATGGAAGGGCAAATTGTTGATTTGTAGATCTGGAGGATCGATTCTGGGGAGAAAAATAAGGTTGTAAATGGTAGGGAAGCAAGAAGCCAAAATAGTTCCGGGAGTGATAAGTGAAAACAAAAAACTATTACGGTCACATCTAGATCGTTCAACGATGAGACCTTGTAGTGAATTATGCGATACGCTTAAATTCACGCTATGGGGGTGTCAAGGAGGAGATCTCATTAGAACGACTGTCATAAAAATATTTATAAAAAAGACAACAGGAAGCCGCGTCTTGGCGGTGGGAAAGCAACTGAAGTCGATAACATTACAAACGCTTCTTTGGATTTGGGCAAGAATTTCGAGATATATATCCAGAGGACCAGACCAAATATGGCAGCAATGTTGAATGCAGAGATGAACTATTTATAAATATGCAAGATGAATTCTGATGAGAAGAATATAATCTGGCACGGCAGAGTGAACCAACCTTCTTACTAGCAGACCCTAGCAATTAATTCAATGCTCCACTTCATATCAGTAGAAAACATGAGACAAGAACGCGCAATTCGGGGGTTAGCATTAGGCATGCTGATGGAGGGTAACAATTGTTCTCTATGATAACTGAAGTATAAAAGTTTCGCCTTGGAAGCGTTAAAATTTATAAAACATTTCTTTCTCCCAATTAACAACTGATTGGTGGTCGAAATTAGCTGCAGTCTTACTTCGTCGGACCTATCAAACTTCCTATTAAGATAAGAGTTAATACTTGTGTCAACAGCATAAATACCTAGTTGGGAACTGATGACATCGAAAAAGCCGTTGATGAAGATAAGAAACAGCGTAGACCAGCTGCTGACCCTGGCATTAATGCGAAATGATCTAGAAGCGTGGGCGTTCTAGATGACTTTCATTACCCTATTTGTTAAGAACGATTGTATTAAGTCAAATATCCATTCAGATATAACATAACCCTTGAGCTAGTGGAGAAGGTCAACATACCAAAGCCTATATTTTTTATTGTTGCTTCTGTTGTATTGTCATAGACTGATATATTTGTTGGTATTTGTTAACGCTTTTTGTTTTTGATTTTGTAACACCATTCTATAAGTTCTGATAAAGGTTAGTATTCTATAAGAACTTCAATTTCCTTGAAGGTTTTTTTTATTGAGCGTTCTTAAAAACGGTTGTATATAGGTTATTGTTTAGATATTTTTAACTAGTTTAGTGCTATGCATGACGTCCAAAGCGTTACCAAATAATAAAAGCATATCAATTGAAGACAATTCAAAATAAACATCAAAAGAAATGGTAGTACATTTAAGTGGAAGAGAAATGATATAACCGAGTTGTTGAGTTTCCATACGAATAAAATAAAAATCTCAGCAATACAGGAAAGAACGATAACAGTGTAGTTGAGACATCTAATTTCCCGAAAGACTGTTAAAAGAAAAAGGTTTTATGAATTCCAACCGGCAGTCAATGAATGCTAAATACTTCCTGCATGGAAACAACTCATCTCACTATTACTAGGAGAACGAATAAATCTGAAAAGAAAAGAAAAGAAAGCGGGAACTTCAGTAATTAATATTGTATCATGAACTGGCTTGAGGACGACGCAAACCAGAATCAAGAAAGCTTGTGACAGAAACCAATTAAAATGAGAAAGAAATTCCAAAGTGGAACCAAAACAACTTTTATTTTAGGAGATAAATTAAAATTAAAAATAAAAATATAAGTATTTTTCTAAATACAGGGTGGGGCAGAGCAACTTGCTTATTTAAATTTGGCGCCCTAAAGCGATGGTTGCTTCAAGGATGGTAGGGATGGACTTATTTGAGAGGGTGGGGCTTAAAGTTTGTTTCTTAACGTGCGTTATTTATTTTTTGTTTATTTTTCAGGAACCCCAGTGTGCATCATGGAGTGGACGAAGTTGGAACGCGCTTTCGCTGTTGAGGCATTTTTTTCAGGCGGTCGCTCAATCGTCGCAACGCAACGTGCCTTCCGTAGACATTTCAATATTACCCCCCGTGGTCGTGTTCCTGTCCGGTTTCATGGGTAAACAACTTCAGGGAAACGGGTGATGTAAAGAAAAAAACCTGACCTCCACGAACAGCAAGGTCACCCCAAAACATTGACTCAGTGTATAGAGAAGAATGGACGCCATCTTACTGACATCATCTTTAAAACTGGTAAAAAATAAAATTTAAATGTTGAACTAGTTGCAGTTCAAAGAATTACATGTATACCTGCATTACTTGTGTTTTAATTGATATTCCAAATAAGCAAGTTGCTCTGCCCCACCCTGTATAATGTAGCTTTATGATGTAGGCCATCTTGGGTCTCAGCAGTTTTCTTTTCTTTATTGCCTGTGAATCTCCGCGCCTTCTTGGGAAAGATGTCAGAGTGGTATCCCGTTTTCCTCTCCACGGTTCTGAAAGCTGGTTAATGCTTCTAGACAAGATACTACCTAAGGCTCGAGAGTTCATTCTATCCTCCTATATAACCCAGTACATAGGGTGCATACGTGATGGATTCATGTATTTCCCAAGAGAATTTATGTGAATTGAACACAACAAACATAACCGGAATTTGAACTCTTTGCACCGACTGCACTATCCGTTACTATACTTGCAGATCCACAGTAAGTATATAATTCCACAAAAGGACATCTGCAGAGAGAAAATAATGTACTATTAATGGCCGCCTATAACATCTCCATAGAACCAATCAATATATAAAATTCTGTGACACTCGTTAGTTTGTCCGTCTGTCTGTCAGACTCTAAAATAGCCATACATTGACCGGTCGAAACTAAATTTTGGGGAGAAGTCCAAACAGATAAGGGAATACAAAGTACAGTTGATTTTGCTAGGGTGCGTAACTTACTACATTAAATTTTCAATAAATTTTGGAAAAATTAAAAGTTTTCTTATTTAACATACAAAATACTCCCACTATTTAAAAAAAAAACAATTTAATAATTAAAACAACAAATACTTATTTAAAAAAACGCAATATTGTTTTTCATATCTTTTCTTTGAGTTTTTATATGTACAAGAATCTAGTTTCCAGTTCGTCCTGCGTTTACAATAACTATAAACAATTCACGAGGCCAAATGCTTCAAAACGTTGAAATTTGGCTCCAGAAAGAACTATTTACGCATGTCCTGTTGTATGTTGCATGCTCAAGAGTAAGAAATCCTAAGAATTTACTCTTCACTGTTAAAAAGGAAAGAGAAAAAAAATGAAATTCTGGTTGTGAAGAGAGAGGGGGAAGACATGGACAGACATGAGATATTAAGTGAATGCAGTAAGTTAACTCGGAAGAATTATAGGCATGAAAGAGTAGAAACGGTGATCAACTCGGAACAATGCAAGCGACTAGGATTTGACCATACAAACCAAAGGTATATGCACAAACTAGAATATGTCTTATACTTAGAAAAATATATATATAATTCACTAGAACAGATCGTTCAATCCAGAAAATCAGGAGTTATTGTAAGCAACAAGAAAACTTTATGGACTCCGCTATTCCAGAAAATTAGATAAGCGAAAAGCTAAAGAAATATCTATCCTGTGCAAGAGAAAGGATAAAATTGTGGACCGTAAATGTGACAGTTGTACCCATCGTCAGTGGATCACTGAGGGCAGTCTGAAAAAGCATAGCATAACTAAACTGGAATTGCTAAGCTAATACAGATGTTTTTGAAGATGTTTTTAATGATATTGACCACTATGATCAACACAACTAAAACATCTTGAATATTGATGAGTGTACTAGAAGATATGGAGAGACTTGTAGTCACTTAGTCTCCAAAGATAACGTCTGGAATGAACATACATAACCAATTGTAGTTCTAACACTAGTATCACCATTCGACCTACGTTAAAATCAATGTCATTGCACTACTTCGTTATCTGTATTCTGTTTTAATTACTGATCTATTGTTCGCTTGCTTATCTGGCCTTGTACTTGGTTATTTCAGTAGTGAGTGGGGGGGAGCTGGAAAAGTTTAGTGAGAGAATTCGACCAAGTGAAAAACAAATGCTAAAATGAAATGAAAAATTTTAAACAGTTTTTTCTTTTTTTTTTTTTTTTGGTTCCTACTTTTACTTTCGCTTGTTTCGAATTGTACAATTCGTGGTTTTTGTAAAAACAGGACTTGTCTGCCGAATCGAAAAAAAAACGAAGACAAAAAAAGAGCAAATAGAAAATCCTTTTACAGCAGATGTATATATATATGTATATAATGTATCATGCGATAAAGTTAGTCTATTTGCCTTGTAAATCTTTATTACTTAGATACATTTACTATACCTGCAATAAATAAATATATATGTCTACTATAAACATTTGTATATATATATATATATATATATATATATATATATATATATATATATATATATATATATATGGGTTTTTTTCAAATATATATATATATATATATACATATATATATATATATATATATATATATATATATATATATATATATTTATAAATTGATTCCAAATATGATTCCAAAACATAAGAGGTCTCATGTTTCAAAACAAAAGAAAAACTGTTGATAATCCTTTAAAAAATTGAGTTGAAGATGGAAAGGAGCCCTTTCCATCTTCAACTCAATTTTTGTTTAAAGGATTATATTGAAGTTTTGGCCTTTGTTTTGAAACATGAGACCTCTTATGTAGCGATTTGGAATCATATTTTTAAATAAATAATTATATTTATGCTCTACTTTTGTATCGAGCACTATTTTTTAAAATAATAACAAAAATACTAAGGAACTTTGGACTATTTACCTAACCAGTTCCTTCCCTATTTTCTATATATTTTCACATATTATATATATATATATATATATATATATATATATATATATATATATATATATATATATATATATAATATATATATATATATATATATATATATATATATATATATGCAGAAGATGTATATAGAAGGTGTATATATATATATGCAGAAGTTATATATGCATATATATAGAATACGTTGTCCACTGTTTTTTTCTCTCTTTTATCTCTTACACACTATCATTCTGACACACACACACACACACATTTATTATTTATTTATATATATATATATATATATATATATATATATATATATATATATATATAGTGAAGTTACTCTCTTTGTGCCTGTAATGTTGTATGTCTGTGTGCGTCTGTATGCGATTGACTTCTGTTAAGCATGTATATGACCGTATGTGTAAATGATATAAGACATGCGAGACACATTTTAACCTCGAACAGGATTACAATTTCAAGGTCATTAGCATGTGGCAACTCGTGAAGGTCGAACACACTACTAATGAGCAGGAATGAGAAAGATACTATCATCGACCTATCTCCATCTTTCATTATATTTTTCCGTTAAAACTTACTCCACATTTTTTACCTTTTTACATTTTACTTTTGTTGCTTTTTTGTCAGTTTGTTTACGACCATTAAGCAAGCCTATTGGAACAGAATTATTGCCCTGACAAAAGCTAATCTCGCACCCACTAAGTTTGGAATCGCTCCTGGAATAGATAGCGCTTTACCAATTAAGCCACCAGGTGAGGGGAAACAAATATTCGTACACATACAAATTTGTAATTTATTGTATTTCCAAATAATGCTGAACATACTTTACATATAATTAACTGTACACAGATGTATAATTACTAAATATGTATAGAAAACAGAAAAAAAATGATTTCAAAACCTTTATGAAGAGCTATTTCATAGCTGCTCTTTTGCAAAAGTATGATATCAGGGCGATTACTCTCCAAGCGCTTGTCAGTCAATATGGTCGTATTCCATATGAGCTCCCCTTGCTTATTCTCGGCTACTGATAGCGGTGAATGCTTATACCACTTCACTGCGCACCCGTGGCTATATTTCCTGCATAGTTGTCAATGTATTCCGAGGCCTATTTTGTCATGGTGTCTTCTATACCAAGCTGTGCGACCACTGACAATATGTTTCACATTACATTAGAACCTCGTAGTACGAGTGCACCATTATACGAGCTACTTGCTTTATGATGTTAGGACGTTCGCCCAGCCGGTCGGTTCGAGGTTCGATCCCCACGGCTGACCGTTGAATGGATCACTTCGATCCATACCTTGCCTTGTACCATGCTGTGTTTGGTTTAGATCACAACGCTGGCCAAGATCAAATTGTCGACAGGAATCGTTGAATTAGACTGCCCCGGACAAAGTGAAGGCACAAGTCATAGGAAAAATTGTAATAAATAAAATGGGATTTCGGTTATTAACCTAATTTCCACACAGAGTTCTTTGACTATGGGAAATTAATCGCATATGCAATTTTGGAGAAATCCTTCCTCCGAGGATTAGTGGTAGCGGAATATCGTTCACCCCTAATTTCTTTCTCCCTCATATTGGTGCCTCATACCAATACTGCCAAAGGGGTGTAGGCAATTGCTCCGCCTCCATTGGTGTTCAACCTAAGCCTTTCATTTCTATGATCACCTGACCTCTATCTAGACTGCATAGGGCAAGCAGGCGTGGTTTAGCTCCAATTATTAATTTTAATTATCATCCAAATTCCGTCTTCACAACTAGACACTCACCAGCTGTTCCCGTGACAGCCTCTTCTTGTTGTACCTCGTCTCTTACCTAAAGAAATTTCACCGCTTCAGCGATTCATGACTTACCTTTTTTTGACAAGTCATAAAAAGACAATACTTCAACACTAAATATAACATTTCGACCGACTTGTCTTCCGAGATATGTCCAGCAGATAATTCCATAACCTGGATTTTAAAAACAATATTGTTTCCATTTTGGCGATTACACCGCCTCTCTTCTCTTCTTTTGACAAGTGATTGTTTCCAGAACACCTTAATTTTTATCTCGACCGACTTTTCTTCATCGGTCTTGGCCAGCAGATAATTCTATAAACTGGATTTTATAAATAACAGTGTCTACATTTTATAGTTAATTGTCAAATTCGGCCATATGGTTTTTGTAAAAAATAAAATAAAATGTTTCTGCCTTGCCTTTACTCAAGGAAAAGAAAAACAAACACACCCTCTGAATTCGCTAAAATCTGGTTTCAACTTTTGGTATGTTTATCGAACCCTTAAAGTATTACAGCTTTATGATCTGCCATTCGTGAGCATTTTTGTATCGTGGGACGAGTAAAAATTCGTAGTACGAGCAACCGTCATATACACATATTTCTAAGAATCAAAACGGTCATTGACAAGGTGAAGAGCATCTGTTAAATCTGACGTCCAGATTCTATATTAATTTTATGGGAGAAAATTTTTCGAAGTACTTATCACAAATAACATCAACTACCAACGCTATCGATTGCCTCCCTTTCCCGACGAGCATGGTGAGGATCTGGCGATAGGGAAACTTCAGCTGCTTCAGGAGCATAAAAAAAACATGGGGAATGTAAAGGAACTAACCAAGGAGGAAAGTGTGTCAGATGTTGCCTCCAAGAGTAAGATCAAAGAAGTTCTGACAATGTGGAAAAAGTGCACGACTTTGCGCACGAAACAGATTTCTATTGAGAAATTTCTAAAGAAATAACCAGCAAGTGACAAAAGCGAATCAAATGCCAAAAAAAAATCCTTAAGGTCTGAGTGAAAATTCCATTAACTTTCTTATGATTTTTTGTGATTTACCGTATTTCCCGGCATTTTCTCTTAGAAAATACCTTGAAAAAATTCGTGTGCATCTTTCAAGACGAGTGCAAGGCAACGCCCAGGTTCAAGTAAGCTTGGACGGTCACCTGATTGGTTTGACTGGTAGGGACTGGTATGTTGAGCTATTACACTTTAATGTTAGCTAACAGACGAACCCGAAGTTGAGGAGAGTGTCTCTTGGAAAGTCTTTGGGCCTCGAGGTTGACGCGGGCGACGTTGACGAGCTCGTCGACGAGCACGGAGAGGAGCTGAGGACAGAGTAATTTCAGCTGCTTCAGGAACATCAAAACATGGAGGAGGTAAAGGAAGTAGCCATGGAGGAAAGTGTGTCGGGCGTTGCCCCACGACTGAGATGGAAGAAGTGTTGACGATGTGGAAAAAAACTGCCAGACTTTGTGGGAAAATACCACACACAAAAATTAAGTGCAAGGCGTGCGGCTGCTTTTCTTCAACGATATTGAATTGACTAGTTTCGTGGTATTTTGAAATCAAGAACGAAACAGATTTATATTGGTAAGTTTCTAAAGAAACGACCAGCAAGTACCGAAAGCGAATCAAATGCCAAAAAAAAGACCTTAAGTTCTGAGTGAAACTTCCAGTAACTGTCTTATGAACTTTTGGGGATTTACCGTATTTCCCGGCATTTTTTCCTAGAAAATATCCTGAAAAATACGTGTGCATCTTTCAAGACGAAATTGTATTGACTACTTTCGTGGTATTTTGAAATCAAGAACGAAACAGATTTCTATTGATAAGTTTCTAAAGAAACGACCTGCAAGTGACAAAAGACCTTAAGTTCTGAGTAAAAATGCCAGTAACTTTCTTATGAAAGGTTTGTAGTTTAATAAAAGCTGTTTATTTCTTTCATTCTCTTTTATCATGTTCTTACTACATGGACTTTTTGTGATTTAATTTCTTACTTTCTGTTTTCTAAGTTTTTAAATTCTAAAACAGGCAACTGATCTGAAACGGATTAATTAATCTTCCGTTAATTTCAGAGGGATAAATGCTTTGTAATACGTGTAATTCGCAATACGAGTTCTGTCTGGAAACTAATTAAACTCGTACTGCGAGGTCCTTCTCTATTATTATTTTATTTCCTTTGCTTTCTGGTGTATAATCATTTTTTCCGGGTCCCCACCAACAGGGAACTATGGTCAAAAATAGTATGATAACATTTTTCATTGATCATTTCTTGAAAAAAAAACCTAAGACCACACATATTCTACATAGATAAAGCCCTTCGTAAGGTGTGAACTGTACAAGTTTTGTATTTTAAGGCTTGGGCTACCAGGTACATGCTGACTTCTAAGTATTGAAACGCTTCTTTGTTCTTCTGTGTGTTCCAGTTTTCTAATCATATTATCAAAAATCTACATCTATTGAGTGTGTTTCTGCAATTCTCCCTTTCTTAAATGTTACTTTTGCACAAATCCGATATCCATACCGATGTCATAACTGAAACATTTTACAATATTGAAGATAACTCATAGTCGTCTTTGATAAAGAGTTTGATATCATCCATGTAGAATAGATAATTAAACACTTTCTGTTTTACTTTGTATCCATAATTATTACTATTTAGTTCGTGCGAAAGGGTCATTAAGAACAGACTTAACAGAAGGGACGAAAAGGCGCCTCCTTGAAAGATTCCTCGTCGGATATACAAACAATTGAAAGTCGCAATGTCTTTGGTGTCATTTAGGTATAATGGAATTTCCCACTGTGTTAGAGTGAAACACACCTATTATATAGTTAATAGACTCTCCCACCTAATATAAGTAGGAGTAGTAATAGAAACGGTGGTCAGGCGGTCAGTCGGTCGGTCAGTCAGTCGATGTCTGACGACAGTGAGTCGAATACGGAAGTATCAGCGACCACAACTAGATTTCTCTGTGTTATACCTATTATATCAAGTTCCTAACGTTTTGTACGTCGAACCTATTTTAGGACCGACTTAGTACAAATACAAGCCTCCACTGTGAAACCACTACATAACACACAGTTTCATGATATATTAAGGAAATTTGCTATCATCGAGGAGACTTTGTACATTTTTAAAAACCTTAAGGATCAAAGAGTGTGGCACACTATCAAAGGCTTTACGTTAATATATTCAGGTTGTGCTGAAATTTCTACCATTTTTAGAGCAATTTTTTCTTCTTCTTCTTCTTCTTCTTCTTCTTCTTCTTCTTCTCCTCCTCCTCCTTCTTCTTCTTCTTCTTCTTCTTCTTATTATTATTATTATTATTATTATATGCGGGTGATTAATGGATATGACTAAGAGAAAGATAATGAAATGGTTTCCTGATGCCTTCTCCACCGTTTCTCTTCTAAACGTCCATATTCCTTTCTTCCTTTCGGGAACATTTCAGAATGGAATAGAGTTTTTACATTAAAATATAATCATTAATAAATCTGTGGGTGGTAAAAAAAATTCTGGGTTGGAGAGTGTTATAGTGGAACACACCTATTCTATAGTTAATAGATTACTCTGCGTCATTAACCATTATATCAAGTTCCTAACGTTTTGTACGTCGAACTTATTTTAGGACCGACTTAGTACCAATACAAGCCTCCACTGTGAAATCACTCCACAACAGAGAGACAGAAATGTTTTGGTAGTGTTACTGAAGCTAAGCAATAAAGAAAAATCTTGTTAATTAGGATAATAGATCATGGCTCTCCACTATTTCCTGTCTTTTGTTACACTAAGTTACATTTTCACCTTTACAATCCATCTTTCACCCTGTTCTGCCGTCCATTCGCACACTTAAGGTAGGTCACTTGCTGTTTTCTCCGGGAGCTCTTGAATTTCATGTCCTGAGAGTGTTCAATTCGCCAGACCTTTTTCCTCATTACGTCACATAGATTTGAGTTGTCGCTTTCTGAATTTTAACTTCCTTATTTTTCCTATTTTTCTTAAGACTTCTTCGTTGCCCACGTTCTATCCATGGTATTCTCAGAATCTGTCAGAAGAACCACATCACTTAAAATATCTTCTTCATCTATGAATAAATTATCCCGATTTCTTTTTTTTAATCAAGCAAAGGCGATGTATAGTAACATCTTTCTCATACATTTTTGTGTCCGTGTTGAGCGATGTATATTAAATTTCTATATAAAGCTTCTATATATTCTTATAAAGTTTCTATATATTTTTATTATGATTTCTTATTAATTTTTATGTCAGTATTTAGCGATATATAGTTAATGTTCTATATACTTCTATAAAGCGTCTTTATATTTCTATACAATTTTAATACATTTCTATTATATTTTCATACTGATTTTTGTGTCAGTGTTAAGCAAGGTATAGTAAAGTTTTCATATATTTCTATAAAGAGTCTATATATCCCTATAAGGTTTCTATACATTTCTATAAAGCTTATATATATTCGTACAAAGTTTCTATAAACACTATCATGTATTCTTATTGATTTGTGAGTCAGTTTGCAAAGTAAGTTTATATATATAGTTGTATAACGCCTCTAAATATTCCTATAAAATTTCTATATATTCTATAAAGCTTATGTATATTCCTATAGGTTTTATATGTTTCTATTATTTTCTCATTGATTTTTGTTTCAGTGTTGAGCGATGTATAGTAAATTTTCTATATATTTCTATAAAGCCCCTATATATTTATATAAATTTCCGATATTTTTATTATGATTTCTCATACATTTTTGTGTCCATGTTGAGCGATGTATATCAAATATTTATATAATGCTATAAAGCTTCTATATATTCTTATAAAGTTTCTATATATTTCTATTATGATTTCTTATTGATTTTTGTGTCAGAGTTGATCGCTATATAGTAACATTATGATGTCCTTTCTTCAAATCGCAGTTGCCTGAACTGAAAATCATATCCTTGAAATATACGTTATGAAGGCAAATTAAATAAAACTGAAGGAAATGAATAAAATATATAAATGTCACTAGTACAAATATAAACATTTTAATTTTTTTTTATTTTGAAAATTAATTTTAAAATTTTATATGTAGAATAAAATGAAATGCCTATGTATTTCAGCATAACTGAATAAGTTGTTTGAGACAGATATAATTCTACAGAAGGATGCTGAGAATACCATTGACGAAACATGTGAGCAATGATAATGTTTTCCTTAAAACTGAGGCAAAAAGAAAAAAAGAATTAAAAAATGGGCAATAACGTTACAAGAAATAAAGGAAACAATGTTGAACTGCTATGTAGGATAATTCCTTTTATATGCCAGACAATTACTGGACAATTTCCTCACAGATTAAGAGGAGGTATGGGTCAACGGAGAGGTAGAGGGTTACTGTGTGGGGTTGTATGAGCGTAAGAAAGAGCAAGAAGGCGAAGTTCTTGGGGCTATACGGGAAAGATAACGGTTAACTCTAGACTTGAAGAGGTCAAGATTGTTGTGATTAGGAAAACATAAATGAATGAATAGACTTTAGAAGGACCCGGAAATAATAATCCTGAACAGGAAGGAAGGGATAAATCTCTAATCCCGTTCAAAAGACCGGGGAGGTTTATGAAATGGACGATTGACTAACCTATCTGCTCCTATTGGGAAATAGTAAACAAATAATTAGTGAATAAAATTTCAGAGTTCAGAGATGTTAGATGTATAGAGGTGAAATCGACTTTAGAAGGAACCAGAAACCCAATTCTAAATAAGAAACAAGGGATAAACCTCTACTCCTGTTCAAAAGATCAGCGAGAAGTGTGAACCAAACGATAGGCAAATGGGTGATTAGATATTACGTAGCGCTTCATTACTGTTTTTTTTTTTTTTTTTTGGTTCTAACCATTTTCCTATCTCTTAATACTTTGCTTAGTTTCTGGAGCGCATCTTTTGCTATTCCTTTGTTTTTTCGGATTTCTGTGTCACATTTTCAGTCATCTGTTAATACACTATGTAGGAAGTGAAAATTTCTGTACTGGTTTTGTCGTCCGTAATACGGAACTCAAAACTTGCTGACTCTTTTGCTGACGATCATTCATTCTGTCATCTTTTAAGTTAATAGTCCTTTTTTTTCTGGCTTACCTTTACAACCTTGTCGTAATTCTTTCAGTTTTCTTTCTGAGTTGCCATCAAAATATCACCGGTGTATCTTTTGTTGCTGAGTTTATTTCCGCTGATTATATACCCTGGTTTGTATTCTAGCTATTTTAAAACCGTCTCGCTCGACTAAATTCGGTGAGAAGACACATCCTTGTCTCTCTTCTCTTTCCATTTTTGAATATTCACTGGAATCGTTCTCTATCCTCGTGCAGTTTATTTATTCTCAGAAGATGATAATGATTACTTCGAATATCACTATGAATCAAGCTTTTCTATGATTTCAAGTAGGACTTTGTTCCATGTCTTATCAAATACTGTCTTTTCTTAGTTTTATATCCGTGTGTTCATGTGTATGTCTGTTGTTTTTTTTTTTTTTTTTTTTTTTTTTTTTTGGTCATTTTCAGGAATTTCCAGTTGCAGCAGTCTTGTCAGTCGAAGACTTTGCAACTATATCATAATCGCTCTCAGCTTCCACAACATTTGAAACACTCGCTTTATTCAACTTTTCAGACTTTTTTGACTGTCTTCAGTGACAAGTTCTTTTTTATGCTAAAAATTAAATTGAATTTTCAGAAGAATAAATGTATTCGTGTACCTGCTTGCACAGATGAAAACCCAGAGGCCGCGACGAATTATGCAATAATTTAGTATAATATCGAATAATAAACTAAAGTTTTTAAAAATGCTGCTTTATATGTATTACCGGTTCAAAAACAACATAGATAGATAGATAGATAGATAGATAGATAGATAGATAGATAGATAGAAATCGCCATAGATAGATAGAAACTTCCCATAAATTTGATCGTAATAATTCTTTTGCCTCCAAAGAATATTTTGCCATCATTCTTAATGTTCAAAATGTCTGATTAACAAGATAGATTTTAAAAAATTTAAAACCAGAAAAATAAATCAAATTCTCATAGAACGTAAAAGTTATGTGATGAGGAAATTCAACGTAACGGTTGAGAAGTCATCCTGGAATTATTTTTACGACACTAAAATGCAATGCGGAAAGTAAATCGTTAATTAAATTTCCTGCAGTACGCAGCGGGCCATGTGGATTCACATGACTATTTTTTTGAATTTTGTCATCATGATCTTGAGCTTTAATTACATTTCATATAACGAAGCAAAAACGTTGTTCGTAAGCTAGTTTTATAAGCTAGTTTTATTTTTTACCGCTTATCTACACTTTGTGTGTTATTTAAAGCCAAAGCAAATTTTGGATTGTAAGAATAATTGGTTTTCGAGTGGATATTGGTTTAACAATTCTTTTTGAGATAACAAGTATTTTTTACCAGATGCAAGACTATTTAACCTACTATTTAACCTGCTATTTAATGAAGTGGTTCCATAAACTTTTTTTCTACGGCTGCATTTTCGGAATGAAAATTTGCTCATGCCTAACAAAATTTTATGTGTTAAATATACATTTAAAAATTAAACCCGAGAGAGAATTAAAGGGAGATAACCGCGGATTCGACGTCAGAACATTATCATTGATAACTCTCTCTTCCAATTTGCAGACTCTAGTTACTGTATTCTTAATACTTGATTTAATATAAAAAATATCACAATTATAAAAACTGTCAATAATTATTTATAACTATGTTGTGGAGATAAACACATCCCTCCAGAATATGAGTTGGGCTCGTCCAAATAGCATATATACTGAAGCCGAGAATTATCAGCAGAGAGCAAACCGCTTGCGGAGCCTCGAGATCTTGTCGAACTCTCTGTCTTCGGACGGAGAGGAAACCAGACGAGGCCATGCAAAAGGGCAGAATCTAGTCTGGGAAGGTAGACAAACCCGACACCTTTATTACGGGGTCTGCGGAGTATTTTTGCTCGAGCCTACAGGGTCTATTTGCCCCACAAAAAAATCGGCCTTGTGTCACTTCCTACCTTGTGGGGAGGTTGGTACATACCGAGCTAACCGCTCGCGGAGCTCTTAGATCTTGTCGAACTCTCTGTCTTCGGGCAGAGAGGAACTCAGACGGGACTCTGACCTTTGAAATAGCCTCGTTTGGGGAAGTAGACAAACCTGAACCCGTGTATAATGGAATACGTGTACGAGGAATTTTATCCCAATCCCACGGACTCCCTTCGCCCCACATAAAAAATTGGCCTTGTGCCGCATCCTGCCTCGTGGAGAGGTTTGGTATATACCAAGATAACCGTGTCCGAGACTTACTAAATAATTCAGTATGACTACGTCGATTCGAAGCGACATTATATTTCAGGACTTGAATTTACTAGGCGTCGATTGGCTAGAATTATTTGAACTATGGAACTGACTGGTTAATTCATTCATTAATTTTTCGTCAAAGAAAAAAACTACTGCTAAAGAAACACTGAGTAAGCTAAAAAAAAAATCACGAATATTTTCTCAGAGGAGTTGGGAAAATTACAAAGTCAAAGGCATTTATTAAATTGAAAGAAAATGTAATACCAGTTTTTAAGCCAAAAACAGATAAATTTTGCTGTGTTAGAGTCTATTAACACCGAATTTGATAGGTTAGAAAACCGAAGTTATTTAAAAAATAGATTATTCAGAATGAGCTACACCAACAGTTTATACTAGAAAAAAAAAAGATTCGTTTATGTGCAGATTTTTCAGCTGGATTGAATGACTGCCTCATCCCACATGTATATACACTATCAACTCCAGAGGATATATATTTACCAAATTAAATGGTGCTAAGTTTTTCAAAAATTGACCTGCCTGAGGCATATCTTTAAATCGAACAGTATGAGGAATGCCAAATTTGACTATTAATACATATAAAGGACTCTACACGTTTAGAAGATTACCCTTCGGTGTAAAAGTAGCCCCAGGTATTTTCCTGCAAATAATGGGCACGATGTTGTCTGGACTAGACGGTGCAATCGCTTACATAGATAATATACTTATTAAGAGGGCTACAAAAATACAGCTTGTAAAACTGATTCTGCAAGTATTTCAGAGACTACGTGATTACAGTTTCAAAATCAGTGAATAGAAATGTCAGTTTTTTATTGATAAGATTAAATATTTAGGTTTGATAATCGACGAAAAAGGAAGAAGACCAGATACCGCTAGAGTAAATGCCATTAAAGACGCCTCACCCTACAGACTTGGTGACCCCACAATCATATCTCGGATTAGCAAATTATTATAATATTTATGTGCCAGGTATGTACAAATTGGAAGCATCTCTGAATAATTTACTTAAGAAGTGTACTTTACATAAGAAGTGTTCGTAATGGAATTGGTGAGCGGAATCTTAAAAATCTTTTGAAGGAATCAAAAAACTGCTAACTTCAAAGTTGTCGCTGAGACATTACGACCCGTAGCAACAGATAATAGTATTTTTTTCGAAAACCTATGAATGACTTTAAATCGAAATGGATAAAACTAAAAGTAAATCTGTCTATATTTCTGAGATGAGGTATTATGTACACTATTTACATTATTCGGACTATTGATATCATCTTTGTCGCTATATTTATTACAACGTTTCGGCCGTTGTACTCTCCAGCCATCTTCAGGTGGTTGGAATGTCGAACTGAACCCTTTATTTCACTCACTGGAGTAGACTGTTCTAATTCCACGTGCTATGTTTAATGGATGTCAGTTATGAGTTATCTCCTGTTAATTCCCCTCTCCAAGTTCTTCACTGACTTAACCGGGTATTGAACTCACACTCTGGGTACTGTCACTGGGTCTAATCAACGCCTTTATCTACTGTGTCATGTGTACTTGAGAACATCTGTTTATGAATTTCTGGGTATTATAAACCTAATGTTTCCGCATCACTTTTAACAGTGCTCATATTGCAATTTTTTTGCTTTTATCATGGCATATTTTTTACCAGAGCTCATATTGCAATTTTATTGTTATTATCGTTTTTCTTTGGCACTCCTTATTACTGGTTCCCATATTGTATTCATTTTTATGCTTGATCAGCTCAGAAAATTTGTGTGGCCTAGTATATGTACCGATTTCTTTAAGTTTACGAATTTTCCAATGGTGTTCTTTGTCTATGATCTCAACCTGCGGGCGATGATCTCCCTTTTCACTCCATATGTGGTCAGCCATGCCAGATTTTTCCACTTCCCCTCGTGTTACAGCTTTCTGCTATTCTTAAAGCCTTACCTTAAGAGGGCGGCCTGTCTCCCCTTTATATTTCTTTCCGCAGCTGCACGGAATAGCGTATACACAGTTTTTAGTCGTGTTCTGCTCTGTTGGGGGTCTTACTCGGGAGAGATATCTGCGAAGTGTCGTCCAGCTTTTGAAGGTTGTCCTGATGTTATATGGACCGCAGATCCTTTGTATTTTCTCTGATAACCCCTTCACATAAGGTAGCCAGACTGTTTTCTGAGTGTTGTTGTCCTCCTCTTGTAGCCGCCTATCCCAGCTTTGGGGGCTGCTGTCATGTACCAAGGCTAGTTGTTACGTTGTAGGGTACTACTTATACTGACCAATTCTTATTCTAATATCTCTGGGTCGCCACTTATGACTTTTGCTCGGTGTTGTATGCAGAGGATGATCCCTTTCTTTACGCTGTATGGATGTCTTGAACCCATGCTCTGTTCGAGATATTAGAACATCCAGGAATGGGAGTGTGTTGTTACTCTCTTTCTCCATCGTGAACTGGATCGAAGGTTTTATCTAGTTCACATGGTGTGGCCAGAGTATGAAGGTGTCATCTAAGTACCTTAACCATAGAGTTGGCTTAGATTCTAATGCCATTTTCTCAAAGTATTCCATATATATTCGCCATTGCTGGTGATAACGACGAGCCCATTGCTAAGCCTACGCATATGAATTTTTTTAAACTGTTTCTAAATCTTTGATTATCTTGCAGTCATTCCGCCTCACCTGGTATCCACTTCCGCCGGACCTATGAGGCGCTCCGCACTTTTTCGGAACCACTGATTTTACCCATGACTGGTAGGAGAAGAGATGAATTTATATTCCCCCCAAGGCTATTTGCATACGGGAATATAAAGCATGTACTCCCCGAGAAGCAAGAACCTCCTTTCCAAAATTTATCTGCTTTCATCGAGGCTATGTTAGATTTTCAAAACACATTAAGAGACATTTAAAGTCAGGAATATTTACACTTTTTTATCTTAGTTCTCATAAGACAATCAGTTACTCAATTAAATTTTGTTTTGTTTTCCCGGGACGCACATTTTTTAGTGTTTAGACTATTTGAATAAACTTTTCTTCTTTAAAATGACAACACTTTTTTTTTACTTTTTCTCTTTAACAACCTTTCCATTCAAAATTACTCTGTAAAAGAAATGATAATATATTTCCATAAAAAGAAATTAAATCAAAAACAATAACAAATAGTAATTCGTATTTGGCATGATAATTTAGAACGATTCAATTGCCAATTTGAAGATTTCAATGCTATTTTCGCTTTCAAATTTCCTAAAAACAAACAAGATTTGTTGTTGGGGCAAAAACTGATATAATTTCGATGGAAGAAATTACTCTTTCAGTTTATACATGAAATATAAATTTTCATAAGTAAGTGCAAATTTAAACTCGAAATCAGAAATTGTACTGGATCATAAAACATATCACCCTTGATATGTTGTATGATCCAGAATATGATGTATATTTGGAATATGATGGACATATGATGTACATATTATACAACACATCGGATATTTTAAAATAACAATAAAATAAAAACAAAAGCAATAGAAGGCTGAATTAAGCATTTTATATTGTGCATCTATTTGGGCACCAGCAGGCGGTGTAATGGTTAGCAAGCATATCTCGCTAGAGCAATTACGACTGAGTAGTGAGTTCAATCCTCACTAGGTGTCCCATACTTTCGG